AAACGTTTAAAAGCAATGGAAAGTCAGTTAAGTGGGAACACTACTGTTTAAGTAAAAAAAAAAGAAATAAAGAAATTTGTTTAGACCCTCGTCTACATACTAATGAGTTAAATCGTATTTGTCCCTCGACAATTTTCAAATCCAAATCTTTTCTGCCATATGTGCCGACTAGACACTGAAATGACTAGACATGTAAAACATAGATGTTCAATTACAGTATGTTAAAATTTATAAAAGAGGATCGACATACGTTAAGGGCACTATCGCTGCTGACAGTGAGTCCCACGTAGCGTTCTTTTCTGATCACAGCGCCTTTAAAGGTGTATGCTCAATGCTGATCCAAATGATTCTGAACGGAATAGAAGCTTTCGCTTAACGGGCTTCCGTATCTAGTAGCAGTGTTTCGCCGATGCCTCCAATTAGGAACCTAGGTATATTACCGATGAAAGAAGAAAAGCAAAAAGTTGGTGAATCATAGTGAGATAATGTCCTCAGTCCTTAAGGATATGTCAAGTTTTCTCTTGAAAGACTCATGGGAAGTAGCTTAGACTAGCCCAACTGGCAGTGAATTTCAACATTTGACTACCCTTGAGGAGTAGAAGGTGTGTCTACAGTTCGTTCTGTTGTGTTGTGTCTCTAGTTTCTGGGTGTTACCCTTTAGGTTTGTGTTGGAACTAGCCTAGCTGTCGGAGGTTTTTGATAAAATATATATAGTTTACTCTATTAAAAGCTTTGGAGAAGCCGAGGTATACGACGCCCAATTTCCCCTTGCGACCAAGGATGCTTTTCTGTCCACGGTGGTCAGCAGATTGGTTATACAAAAGTGACCTTTTCTGAAACTGTTTTGTTGGGGTGAAAAGAGGTTTATGGATATCAAGTGGTCACGTAGACCGTCGCATATCAGAGAACATCACGCTAAGCGGTGTTGCTAAGATTGAAGCTGCTTATTTCTATATAGTAGAATCACCCACATCACCAGCTATAATAGAGAAAATGAATTTTTTCGTGTATCTTGGTGGTACAGAATGATCACGAATCTTTTTTCATTGAGATAGTTCTGATGCGTTGGTCAACTTTTCTGTGTTTAGATTTCACTGCTGAATGCATTCCAAATGATTCAAATGGTTGTGGATAGAATATGAGAGGCTTTCATTTACCGAGCTTTCGTATCTAGTAGCATTTAATCAGGCAGGAACTAGTCACATTGAACAAGAGAACGACAGATGTTGGGAAATTAAAATGAGATAATGTACAAATCCCTTATGAATGTAGTAAATTTCCTTCTTAAACACTTCTGAAACCTGACTTCATCTCTTCCCCAGTGGTTAATTTCAAGACTTAACAGATCATAACGAATAGAAGGCGAGAATTTATCACAGTTTGATGTGTTTTACTTCTCATTTCTAAGTGCTTTCCCATAGGACCATGTTGCAAATGAACGTGAGGACATATTTCAGATGTCCATGAGAGCTTAAGACACTGTAAGTCGTCAAAAGGTCGCCCCTGAGTTGGATTTATTGTAATGGATGAAAATCTAGAGATTGAAGGAGTTCTCCAAAGCTTAACATCCTCAGCAAAAGCTAGTACGTGGCAAGGAAATTAATTCAGACGGATTAATGGAGGTAAAGTTTTAATAATGAACCCTCTGGGAACACACCGATACATTTTATTGCCTGTGAAAGTGTGAAGCTTAGCCTTACGTTATAAAGACGATTACAAAGAAAAGATTCAAATCAGTCTTTCGATCCCGACTTAATGCCTATTGACTCAAGCCAAATTATAAGACTCACTGGATTGATTTTGCCAAAAGCCACGATATATAACATCCATTTTACCCATACGATTGAGGATCGTTGCTCATCTTCCATCACAGTCTGACGATTCGTGACCCATGAGTACCCATTCCTGAAACGATACTGTCGTTGATAAAAGAAATTTTAACTTTGTACACGGTCACTTATGCCGTAGTAAATCAGAGGTTCCCTAACCTTTGAGTGTATTTAAACAGGAGCCTCTGCCCAGAAGATTGAAAGAACATTGCGTCAACATCCCACGAAGATTGGTAAGATGTCTGCCTGCCACCATTTGTTTGGGACCACGCCCCGATAAGCAGTGGGAACAATACATTAGGACTTGGCGCTAAATCTGAAGCCCACTTCCTTAATGTGGTAGACTAAACCGTATCCTAAATGAGGTCTTTGAATTAGAGAAAAACCTGTCAGACAGCTTACCAGTGCCTATCTTCCAGGGGGTGACGCGAGTGGGCTACTCAACTCCGTGTCTGAAGTGTATGATATTACGGTGTGTTTCTTTAAATGCCTCTGAGTATCTTTATTACTCTTCATCAAATACAACCGAATGGTTTGATATAATATTTGTCTGGTCAATGAGATATAGAAGATTTAAGTATGAAATTGGTTAGCTTATCGCGAACAAAGTATTAAATTTATATGGAATACCCTGCGATTCTGGGGTTCACCTGAGCTTCAAAAGGACCTCACAACAATAGAGGAACAGGAGGCAGACAATTGGTTAAAACTTGGCTTGTTGAAATATCACGTCATTAACATTCTGGCTTATTTGGCACAAAGATTATACGTCCTCAATGGAAATTGACTCTGGATTGTTTCATCAGAGCGAGATTTGGGCCTAGCAACCACAGAGAGATTAGACACCAGCTCAAACTGTATTTAACATATAGCCAAGAAAGATGCAATTATTCACTTTATGCGAAGACAACTTGGATAAATCACTCCGGAACTTCCCCCGACATTGTCAAGAACAAACTCACAGCCTCACCTTGATGTCTAAAATGCTGTTGTGCCCAGTCTCTTCAAAATAGACGCAACTATCGCAGATCAAGAATAGAGAAGAATAACTAAATTGGTGGTGTTGCTAAAAGATGAATCTTGAGAAGATAGACTACAACATGCAATTATTCCCTCTGAGCAAGAATAAGAAGTGATCTGACAATCTCAGGTGAAATATTAGGTACATCAAGTCACCTCAACATGAGCATACAATTAAAATATAGCTACCATGCTCTTCGAGGCAACCCTCAGATGATTGCAAATCAGAGCGCAAAACCCAGGTTCTTCCCCACACCTTAGTGTCAGTTGACGTCGATCACCAACAAACGGTACAGGACATCAAGTTCCCGCTAATGAGACACGTTGTACAGGCAGAAAACACATTGACTAGTCTGAAAACCAGAAGATATACTGCTGTAGAGGAGCACCAGGTGATGTGACAAACTTGTCGAGATTCTCTTCAACAACGTACGAAGACTAATAGGTTGATTAGTAATGATCAATAGCATGTACTTTCAGTTGGATTTGAAAATCATAGTTCTAAATGACACGTGGGTCTACTCTGACATCATGGATGACGAAGCGAGCATTCAAGGAATGGCACTTTTCCTATGTGATAGAGCTCACAAAACGGAATGCTAAGTGGCGAAATACACTGAGACCCAGTTCAATGCCCTTAAAAAACATGTTACTAAATTATCCGAAATGACAGAATCATACTGTTTTTGCTTCTGCTTGAACTGCACGAAATATTTGGTTGTAAGACTACACTGGCACTTCACAGGTTCTAACGACCGAAAAGATGGGATATTACAGATGACAACAAAACTACTAGCTTGAGACTTTAACACGCAGTCTCTAAATCTCAGCTAACAGGATAAAACCCTTAAGCGTGGTTACACAGGCGGCGTGACACAGCCATTAGAATTTCAGGACTGATTGAACTCATTGGTGGTGCCATGAGTTCTATAAAGTCAAAAAACTCTCGAAATTAGATCATTATTTGTAAACACTGATCAGCTCATAGTTAAGGATATCTATGTTTATACAATAATTGGAGGTAGTGACCGTGATACAGTTATCTTTTACGTGAAGCACCTTACTGATGTCAAACCCCTCTAAGTAAGCAAGACGATTTCACTGTAAGACCGTTCTCCAACCGATGAAGCTGATGAAGAGGAACCCTATAAAGAGTGCGTACTAGCCATTATAGCTCGGCTCAGTCCCGACCATAGCGTCAATGTAGCAGCAGTGGTCGTAACCCACAAACAACAACGAAACTGTCTGCAATTAGTGCAGTTGAGAGGGTAGACTACCGCCCAGTGGACTTTACCGAAGGCTTGGACTGTACCGAGATGATAAGAGAAGAGCGCAGACAAACCGGTCGTTTTATTTGAGCTAACATTGAAGATATTGGATATAAAATTCACGGCAAAACCTGAGGGCGAGTTATTAGGCATGTCATCCGTACCAAGTAGGTCGCAGTGTTTGTCCTATTGTTGCTCATCGAAAGACTCCCTGCCTCATAACAAACTGCACTGAGACAAATCCTACGATCATCGAAATCCCCATGTTCTTTCATGTCCACGTGACACTTCACTTGTTTAGTTCAACCTAATCATAGCAACCAGGAGTGTTGATTTAAGCAGCAACACTGTATCTAGTTTCAAACCTACGAAAGGATAAACATTGTGTTTATTTTATTCTTGAATTTGAATATTAGTTGTGAATCTTATAGTGTTTCTAGCTAAAAATTGTAAGTAGATGATGTGTTTTTACTTAGTCGTTTTATCGTAGCTTTCTCTAATTCCTCTAGTTTATTGTGCTCGTTAAGTGAAGTAACACCTAAATCTCGTGTTTACACATTACAACCAAACGTAGTAACAACTATTCGTTGCGATTATACTGTGAAAACTTTAGGATTCGTTCAAATGAGCCTCGAAATAATTAACACTGTGGACAAACTAACGCTTTCAGATCAAATAGAACAAGAGAAAATAAGCTTGTAATATTTGTTTATGAAAAGTCACGTTTTAGAAATCTTCTCAGGCAGACAAACTGCAAACTAGAAGAATCCATCGACATTTTAGAGGACCAGCTGGCTTCAATTGAAGATGAAGGTAATTAAGAAGATTAATCCAAATCCGTTTAGATAATGAGTGGAAGACGAGATATTTAATTCAGAAAGAGATGAATGACTACTACAAAAGGGCATTCTTTTTTTGCGATCAGCAAATACCGAAGGCAAAAGCACTTCAACGAACAAGTATACTTATTTTTTTATGTCTATGTCACTTAAATTTTAAAGTAAACCGTGCTGTTAGAAGGGGCTCAAAATTATCTAGCTACATGGATCTTGACGAAGATTCGGTTCAAGAACTGGAGGATTATCGTACGTACATAAATAAATTATGTCGCGAGCTGGAATCGAGGATCGATCAGGAGGGAAAGGTGAGTATTCTCGTGCAAAAGTATCAAATTAAAATGTCTCTGAATACTTCACTAGCGATTTCCTTTTATTCAGTTCAAAGGCATATTTATCCCCTCAATGACGATAAAAAGAATAAGGCACTCGCATTTTGCGATTGCTTCTCATCCGTTTCCTTATCAAGGGATTTTGATGAGTTTGATTTGAGATATCTGAGCGAATAATTCATATGAAAATATCTTTGATGAAGAAGCGAGCCACCCGATTACAACAATTTTTCCTGATCACTTCTTCAATTGTTTTACTTTGTACCATCATTAAGTGTGATCTTTTTCCTCTGAGTTTTATCTACGATTTGGTTGTGAAACTGGAAACTGCCGTTGGCTCCAAAAAGTATAGTTGTTCTCTGTATGATACCTGAGTATGTAATTCCTGATTGGTTTGTACAGCCTTCTCTTAGTCGCCATTGCCAACCAAACTATTTATTTATGTCTTGCAACGGTTGTCTTCCCTTAACACCAGAGTCATCACTTTATAGGTTTTCATCCTTGAACTTATCAACCCCATTCCTAGTAATGTGGTTGCTGTCAGTGTTCGAAAACCCCACTGCAATGAGTCAAATTTACTCGACTTTTGAAAAATAAAAATCCATAAATAACTGTCAAACTGATTGAAATAAGTGCAGTCAAGTGGGTAAACTTATACTTACTGGACATAATTAGGGGTTTGTAATAGTACCGAAACAACAAGTAGTGAGCCAAAAGAAATCGATCGGTCGATGAGGGCTCGTGTCTATTATTGATTATCGGATCGTAAGATGCCGAACTTTTTGCTAAATATCGAACAGATATTTTACTTCAGGATCTAAATTTAAAGCAAAAGATTATTCAGTTCTAACGTTTCTACAAAATATGTGTAACTGAAAGTATTTGTTTCAGTCTGATTGGCAATCTCAAGGTCTCTCATTCTGGTGTATCATCCAAATCTGACGACTTACTATCGTCTTCGTGGCTGTAAGTTTTAGAGTACATATTCACTGTGAAGTCATTGGAAAGCCAATATTTAAAAGTTTTTATAAATTTCAGACATTTTTTAAAAATTGTTTTAAAGTTATCATTTCTCAATTTTTTCTAAGCTTATTAATCCTAAGCTGCCAGCTTTGCGGAAATTTTGGGTTTTTTCGCTCGTTTCTCCAAAATTTACCATAGCGGCTTCCAAAAAATTTCCTCAATATGGAAAAAAATTTTCCTCAAAGTTGGCAGCTTGGGATTAACTTTATTATGACAGCGGTTTCCGGAACGACCTATGGATATACTATCGTTAATTTATATTTACTTTCATCATATTATCGCAGCTGTCTTAGCTGCTTAAACCTGCAGATTTGTGCAAAATAACAGACAGCGTGGCGCGAACGCAAATAACAGCTGCTAGAACAACTGCATTTGTTATGTGACAATTGTCACGTCATGACGTGATAATTGGGACAGTTTTATGCTGATGCTCAGAAACACCATGTGATTTTTACAATTAGTCCGTGTTAATAATTACTTAAATAGGATAAAATCACTGGATAACTCAAATCTCATTTTTTGTTTTCGATTTCCACTAAGCTTTTCCGTGTCAAAAGAGACTAATTGCTCAACGGTCATGAATGCGAAGCATTTCATCAAGGGTGCATAAGCAGAAGACCATGTTGAAATATGGGCAAACCGGAGAAGAATGTAGGGGAAAGACTATTATATTTTAACTTAGCTTAAGGTTTTCAGGACTCGAGTATAAGTTGGATGCTATACCCAATAAAAAGTTATAATAAAGGATGGTTACAAATAATGGTATAAGGAAACAGAATTTCTACTTCATATATGTATATATATACATTTGTAGTAAGAGGGCGTAGTAATTTGTTGAATTTTTTATTCACTATTCGCATTACGTGTTTTGGTAGGACTGTAGTTTATGGATGACATTTAAGTGACTGAAGTGACCTTGAGGTAACTCACTGACTTACTAGAGTGCAAAGCGGTTTATAAATTAATGTAAGGAATAGGAATGTAAAGACTAGGACTTGGAGCTAGAATTTAAGGTTATGAATTATTATGATGGTTTTCATCACTTACTAACATCAATCATAATGCCAAAATGCCGTTCAATCGTATGAATGGATGAGGTTTGCGTCAAAATTCAAAACTTGGCATCTTTAGTTTCATTTGTACGTCCGTAGAGTATGGGATTCCCAGTGGACTTTTCAAATTTTTAGGTATCTATGTACAATTTAACAGATGGTTTGTCACGGTAAACAAATCTCCGAAATAAATAGTTCTGTAAGTCTTCAACACTGATGCTGATTTCATTAGCTTTATTGGACACACCTAGCTGAAGGCACTTGGTTACTTATCCGCACCAGATTACGAATGGGTACGCCGCGCTTCGCGTCCCTTGAAACTGTTATCCAGCCTAGACTAGACGCTTCTCAACGTTGATGGTCTTCCTAATATATCTTCGAACGTCTTCATTTCTGACTTCTGACTGGGTAGGTATTTTTTGATTATGAAGGTGTTACGTGTAAAGCCGTTGTCAAACTCCAAATACCTGTAGCATATTTGGGTTTCATTATTTGGCTATTTAGCTAAAGCCCGGATTCTGAAGGGAAATAAACAGTTGGTATCACCAGCTTCTCTGCCTGTCCATTCTATAATGTATAGTTATCTATATAAGCTCGTCTTAATTAGCTTCCTATTATCAATTAGCCTAATTATATTGAATATTCTCTTCATATCCTACCAGTCATTTTTGCATAACTAACTTGGGAATAGATTTCCCGAAGTTCCAATGACAATCTTTGATGTATATAGTCAATTAAATCAAGAGTAAACGGCAACTTATTCAGAACAATATGTGATAACCACTCTGTGACTCAAATCAACCACATTTGTAGATTTAACTATGGTATTCTTGTTGCAAAACCTAGAAGTTACATGTACAACTCCATGTGGTCGCATAGGTCCATTAAAGAAGGGTCTCAAACTAGGGTAATAGCTACCCAGTTCTGTCTGATTTACATTCGTATTTTAGCTGTTACCAATCCGTGATACAAAGCATTCTCAAGCTACATAAGTGTCTCAGATATCTATTGGATATAGGTGATCGTGTTCTGACAACGTTTTCCGAAAAAATTTTCTGACCACATATTAGTTTCAATGGTAACGAGTTTCTAACAGAAAACTGTTGTCTGAAAGCAAGTAACCACTTCGATACACATCTACTACTTTGTTATGGAAAATAGAGGTTTCTAAAAATAGCTATTTCACTGCATTGTTTTACTTTAGGTCTTCTAATAAATTCGTCTACACTACAATTTTACCATCATTTCTCTGAGTAAGTTTATTGACTGATTGTCATAGCAATTGTTGTTTTAAGACCAAATAGTTTCATTTGATGATTATTCGGTCCATATATAGATACACTCAACGATTGATTAACTTCACTGCCGTATGTACATTACTATTTCGTGGTTCATTAGTTTCTTAGCTGTTTTACTGATTCATTCCCGTGTTTAACCATAAAACACTCATCATGATAACCTCTGTCGTGTTTTAATTACCACTCTGGACCGAATATAAGGATTACATAAATCATGTAGGTAACCCTTTTGACGTATAAACTTATTGTCAATCGTGAGCATATCTAGGAATCCAAAGTAACTATTACTTCTTCCTCATAATTTCTATTGACTGGAAATTTCGTCCTCCGGTTTTGCTATACGAAGATCTCAAGAGTTGGGTTATTTCACTGCTGCATTTAAACCGCTTCACACCTGATACTCCCTTAAAACCACAGTCCTGTATTACAGTCGTTATACAGTTAATATATCTGACAATAAACTTTATCATTGGGTGGCTCAAAACTTTATTTTATTGCAATGTGAATTAAATAAGACGAAAGGTCTATACATATGCTACCATGTGTACTGTGTACTGGCACTTTTCAAGATAATGTTCTTGATATCGTATTTTCTATTTCAATCACTGGAGGTTTATTTCTGAAATTTTAGGTACAGGTAAACAGCCAATTTTTACTTATTTTAAAGCACAAACGAGTGACTATGTTTCGTGATTTAGAATGTTTATGATTGCTAGATAGGAATTTTAATATCTAGTCACCCCTTATAGATGGTGGTGTCACACCGATTCCTTGTCTTCTCGCCTGGAATGAAAAAGACCCTACCTATGGGGTGGATTAGTGATACTAGCTCTCCTCTTTTATGCATCGTTAAAATGCGTACTCCATAGAATTTACTTGTTCCACATATACGAGGTTAATATCTGTTAACTATCGTGTTATAACATCGTTAGAAACATGTTATCACTACTTACCCTTTACTGAACAATGCACACTAAATTGAAATATGTTGCAGTATTTCACAAACCTCTTGCCTTATACCTGTATCCACATTCAACAGTTTATTCGTGGTGATTATACCTATAATTATATGGTAAGATTAAATATTTCGTTAGGATTCTTGTGAAGTAATAATAACTCCTACTGGTCAGTTAACTAATGGCCTAAATAACAATTGTTTTGATTCACTGTACAGGATCCGTATGAATTTTTAACTTTGACTCAGTTAGGCAGTCCAGTTCGTTGTTTCATGATCACAAAGATAACTGTGCATTGGCTGTTGGGACCAACCTAACTAAATAGTTTAGCTGTTCAAACGTCATCGTTTGCTCACAGTTTCAAGGCAGTGATTACCATCATCTCAAAACGTCATGGGTAACTAGTTCAGGTGTATTTATGTTCTTCAAACTACTACTCAGTGATTTTTAAGTGTTTCGGACACAACTGATCCAAACTCATAATCGTATAAACAGAATCTATTGCCCTAATTTCACATTATCCGGCTGTTTTCTCCGGTCAGCTGCTTTTAGTACCACCGGTACAATCATAATCAAATATTTAGAGACTTTTTGTTGTCAATTTCCAACAATTGTATTCCAATCGTATGTGGAAACTATGCACATAGTTTCACTATATATCGGTCTATTATTGGGTTATTAGTTGAAAATTATCGCTGGCTAGATAAACCTAGATAAATGATCGGATCTGGGTTTCGCGCCTTACAAATACAACCGGAGCGCCTATATGGAAAGACGTGTTATTATAATAGGTGAATTTGAGAAGTAGCGCTATCAAGCCATGGATACGTCTGAGAGTCTAACCTATTTGGCGGGATATTAGTTTCAAAACGACATTTGTGTACCACCAAAGTCCTATGACTGAACTTTGTCACTAAGATACAATATTACATTAACCAAAGTCACTTAGTTACCGTTTACTAGCAACCGTCCAAGATGCATAAACAAGAGTTTTAAGTACTTGTTTTTCCGTTAATTCTAGCGTTTGTCACATCGCATCATTTGGTATGTTTCTACCCACTATGTTGAACATAACTGGAAATCCTGTTAGTTTACTTATACATTCTAGGATAGTCTGAAAGAAACAACTTTATAAATAGCGTTTTCTTGCATCGTTCTCATCCCATTCACTGATAAAAGAAAAGGACTTATTGACACTATTCTTACTATGTTCACCCAAATTATCTGTTATTTATAGAAGTCGAATGCTGTATTGCTAGCGTCGCCAGTAAAATGTAATTTTCAACTATGGTTTGATTATAGATCTGAATGTTGTACACTGTGCTTTGCCTTTTGATGATAAAATTTCTTATGATCGAATAAATCTAACATAGGGATAGTGTTTGTGTTGGCTTATTAGGTTGACAGTTAGTCATATAAACATCCGAAATAATTTCCTTCCCTTATGTAAATTTCTTTTTATGGACTTCTTTGTATATTGCCGTCTATAGTGACAACTTAGTTCGATAAAAGTTTACAGCGTTTAGCTAATCGGGTATTTGATGGGTATTTACCTATCTTTCTAAAGCTGTTTTTTACAAGTTTTAGTTAGGATGTTTTCGAGACTGATATCCTCATTTCTTCACCTAAGTAATAAATCTAGACACTCAAATCACAACCAGTTGGTCTAAGGTACAACCTTTTCCCGATTTCCGAAATTCTGGTAACTTAAGGTTTCAGTAATACAATTTAAACACCTCATAGCCTAGTACACATATTCTTACGGGACTGATGATGCCGAAACATACTACTTTTCCAGGTTCTGAATAAACAATAATAACTATTTTAGTGATATGATGATTACGTTTGTTACACGTTATCAGCGAGCAATAAATAAATATACGCTAGCCTATTTTTTATGCTACATTTGGACATCAAGGTAAAGATAATTAGATGAATGGCATTAACGATCTAAATAATTTAGTATTATCCAGTTTTGAAATTTCCTTAGTTTGTTGTAACTTTCAGCTTATCAGTTCGAAGATCTTTTACAGATGGGAATTCGATCCCCATTAACAGTCGGTTGTGTGCTGTTAGATTAGAAAGTTCCATCAATGTAAGAAGAAATTGGCGTGAGAAACGATGTCTTTTCGTCATCTCCGCCTATGCTCCGACAGATTGCAGCCCGTATGCAATCAAAGATGAGTTTTACCATCAGTTAACTGTTCTTCTCCAGAAAGTGCGTCCGACAGATTGTAGAACTAGCCGGAGACTTGAATGCTCAGGTCGGGCGTCTAGGCACAGAAGAGAGTCGTTTAGGTGGCCGATGGGGACTTGTTGGTCGCAGGACAGATAACGGGAACCATCTACTGCAACTGTGCACAAACCACAACGTGTTCCTGGCTAGCACTAGCTTCCGGCACAGTCATCGCCGATGTGCCACCAGGCGTCCTACCTCTGTATCTCAAGCCTGGACTCAGATTGATCACATCACGATCAGCTACTGCTGGTGTGGTTGTGTATAAGACTGCTTCTCCTTTTGGAGTACCTATCTGGACTCTAATCATGCAGTTCAACTGGCCTGCTGCTCCGGCAACATCGGTCAGACTGTCCTGCCCTCCATGGCCTGTGACGACTGATCAACTAAATGAGGCGGAAGTCCGCAAGGAACTCCAACTCTTGAAGCGCTACAAATCACCTGGCCCAGATGACTTACCTCCGGCTCTTTTTAAAGATGGTGGTGACTTTCTGACTAAGGAACTGTTTACAAAGGTCTGGGAACCAAAGAATGTACCAACGTCATGGAATGAGTCGATAGTTGTCCTTATCTTTAAAAAGGGTTCACGTCGTTCCTGTAACAACTATCGGGGGATAAGTCTACTTCCGATTAGGTCCAAGCTATTGGCTTCCGTCATATTTCGTAGGTTGTTCAAAACCCGAGAAAGATTGACTCGCGAGGAGCAGGCTGGGTTTCATTCTGGTCGAGGATGTATTGATCATATCTTCACCCTCCGCCAAATGTTAGAACACCGTCATACTTATCAAAGGCCAACAATCGTAGTGTTTCTTGACATCAGGGCTGCCTTCGATCCGTTGGACAGGACTGTTCTCTGGTATTGTCTATTGAAGAAGGGTGTGCCTGAGAAGTTTATTAACATCCTAAAAGCCCTATGCACAAACACCTCAGGCAGAGTGAGAGCATACAACAACCTTTCTCCATTGTCCCACTCAAGCAGTGGGGTTAGGCAGGCTTGCCCAATCTCACCATTCCTCTTCAACTTTGCCATCGACGAAATTCTGGGAACAGCTCTGATGGATGTAAGTAATGGCGGTGTGGATCTATTGCCTGGAGAAAGACTTCTTGACCTTGAGTATGCGGATGATATTGTCTTACTGTGCGATAATGCTCAAGCCATGCAATCCACACTTAATCAGTTGGCAATCAGTGTCCGTAAGTATGGTATGTGCTTTGCACCTTCTAAGTGAAAAGTACTTTTACAAGACTGGCAGGACCCTGGTCCTGTACTCGCCCTGGGTAGTGAGCAGATAGAAGTAGTCAATAAGTCAGTGTATTTGGGTAACTGCATAAGTGCTGGTGGTGGCGTGAGTGATGAGATCAATGCACGTATAGTGAAAGCCAGAGTGGCTTATGCCAATCTGGGCCATCTTTGGCGCCTTCGTGATGTTAGTCTGGCTGTAAAAGGTCGGATCTACAACGCGTCGGTGAGAGCAGTTTTGCTCTATGCTTGTGAAACCCGGCCTCTCCGAGTTGAGGATGTTAGACGACTCTCTGTGTTTGATCATTGTTGTCTTCGAAGGATTGCTGATATCCAGTGGCAACACCATGTTAGTGATGCAGAGGTTTAGCATCGTGTGTTGGAGCACAGAGACGATAATGCAATTGTTTTCGCTATCTTGAGACATCGACTTCGGTGTCTTGGACATGTTCTACGAATGTCGTCCCAGAGAATTCCACGTCGTGCATTATTTGCCGACCCTGGGACTGGTTGGAAAAAGCGGAGAGGTGGTCAGTGTATGACATGGTGTTGTGGTATGAAAGAAGGCTGCAAAGGGCTGGCTTCTGTCGGTCCTTCACGACTCCCTGGCTGGGGTCCGAGAGATGGTGCAGCACAGTGGCTAGAGATGTTATCAGATATGGCTCAGAATAGAAGCTAGTGGCGATCCTGCTGTAACCTTCTTTTACTTTCTTCACTAAAAATATGGTTGTATCTTCCTTAACTGAAAGATTTCTTTTGATTGTACCTTTCCGTTTCCCCCATGATTATTATTATTATTATTATTATTATTATTATTATTATTATTATTATTATTATTATTATTATTATTGATACACTTCATTACACTAATCTGGTCGTTATTGTTCCTTTTCCTCTTTTTTTCTCCCCATTCTAATTGTTTTGTGTGGCGCATGTATATTTGGTGCCCCCTTGTACCAATCTTCATGTGTTCAAATAAATAAAGAAATAATAATCTTTTACAAAGATTAAAATCCAACTATAAAGCTTTATCAAAATTGTATTTCGTAATAATAAAGATATCTAACCTTTCTCTGTGTTCCATAGGTTGAAAATGAGTGATAGTGATTTCATTCCTGAATATAAACCAACCGATATCGCCATTAAGTTATCTAATGAATTTCATCACACTTTTGGTACAGAATGCAGTTTTGTAGTTCGAGCTCCTGGTCGAGTAAATCTTATTGGTAAGTTAAGAATTTGCATTTTCGACATATTTATGTACATTTAGAAGGAGGTATAGAATGCTCACTTCAACCACTTGGTTATATTGGATGGAGTTAACTATATACTATGATAACAATTCATTAGCCTTCACTGTAAGGAGGTTTAGATTCTTCCAACATTTTTGTTTAGCGTTATTCTTCATAAATATTGGTTTAGAGATTATACGCTATTTGAAATCTGAAAATAATAGTTAGGATGTTAGAAACAAACAGTAGCACAGGAAATAGTTGAATAAACATCATAATCCAAGCGTTTCAGAAAAACAGAATTTGAGGAAAAAAGCGTGTATACATAATAGCAAATAATAACTCGCAGAGCCCTTCTGAAGTAAGGCTCATTGGTAGACATCAGTTATTTGATTTTAATTCAGCGTTCGTTAGGTATTCTTAAGATATGAATGGCTTAGTTAGGTCAGCAGACTTTCAAATATTCGAATTTGATTCATTTCTTTGTCTACATTACATTTTATGGTCTCATGTCTGGTTTTAGCAACATATTATTTTAAACAATACTTTCTTGCTAATCAGCAACTTCCAATTTCAGTCTGGCAACTTTGTGGTCTTGGTTTTTTCGCAAATAAGCAGCACACATAAATTGTATTCGAACACTTTTAAAGTAACTTTTGTAGTTTTAAGAAATTATAAATAAACACAGTGCAACCAGATATCATTGTCTCACTGACTATTATGGGAGAAGGTTTTTGTACTCAAATTGTTTGTTCCGTTATGAGGCGTAATTTTTGTAAAATAATGTTGTACTTGTCCGAAATTTCGAACGTCATTTTCTCCTGTGGTTTTATTTGACAATTTTAGGATCATCTGTGAAAGTTTTTTATTTACACCTACCACTAGTTGCCTGACCTACAATGTTATTTAGTTTGTTAAAGCCTATATAAATGAACTCCAGCTCCCGTTCGTTACATCTGTGAATATTTCATACCTTTCGTTTTTAACTGGATCTCACTGTTAAACGTATGTGAAGTTTTTCCGCTTACGGTGGAAAACTTCGAGAAATATATTAGGTAATAATAGTGATCGCAGTTTTGATAAACTTGCAACAAATCTTACTATTTGTAGTTATGTAGTTATTGGTATTGATGACTTGTTTCAGGTACTTTTCTTTGATGTATGAAAAACCGTCTATTATGATGAAAGTTCATAAATTATGTCCTGTGGTATTGAAGATTTTATGTGTTACTGATATTCATCTTATTTGCCTTTCCTAATGTGACACTTATCTTACAAATCACTTGGAATGAATAAGTCAGAAGAGGATGAGTCTATTTGTTAATGTTACGTGATTGAAGTTCTAAGGTTTAACTGTATTTGCTAACATCGAGTGACAATACAGAATGTGCATTGTTAGATTAACAATCAATTGATAGTATTATTTATTTATTTTGTGTTTGTGGCCTTTAATATCAGACTTTCTTCTTTTACGTTCAAATGACTGAAAATAATTTGGTTAGCTGTAGAAGTTGAGTTGATTTAAAATATTGAAATAAACAAATAGAAGTGATAAAGAAATTAAAACAAGCTTAAAGTTGATCAAAAAGAATTTTTATTCTGTGTGCAATTTGTTAATGATCAGTACTCTTCAAATATCCACAAAATTGTCTTTTTTTTATATAACTGAAGTAGAAGATGAGTCTTAATTATATGCCTCTTAATTGTATTGTAATGAATTAGAACACGGATGGGGACAATCGAATATATTTAACTCAGAATTACAGAGCATCTCAATAAAATCTGAGAACCATATATCGAATCGTTAATTTGCAAAATGCTCACCAGTTGTTTCAAAATGCCTCTGACTTCATTGTCCTTGCATTTTCATACAAATTGCATTCTATTCCCGCTCTTGCTTTCTTGATCTTCTAAATCTTCTGCTGCCAGACATTACATTCCTGACTCGCGTTATATACTACTTATATAAATATAAGCAGCACGCACCACAATATACCGCTCACCATCACACTGAAAAACTTATTTTTATTTTTTGTAATCATTGTAAGTTCACTGGGTTTGAAGCATGGAGGACAGATATTTTTCCCTTAAAGTTTACGTAGTAACCAAGTTCTTTTCTAGGTTCCTTTTTTATTTAATTTCGTAGTTCTTGACTTCATTTTATACTGACTCCATTCATTTTTATTTCTACGTCTTAAATATATGTATTGTTATCGTGGGTTACACTTGATATCTATCACTGGCTGATCAAAATAAAATCTGACTTCGATTTTCTAAAACATTATAAAAAGAAATGAACTCTGAATGATTATGGTGACTTTTTTTTCTTTAGTAAACAAGTAAATTTCCGATTACTAAATGCTATCGATCATTAATTATGTTTTTAGACATTTTGTAATAAATTTGCTCTATGACTTTGTTTTTGTTTCTTTTAATAACCAGGCGAACATATTGATTATAATGGTTATCCTGTACTACCGATGGCGTTAGAACAAGCAGTTTATATATCTGTAGGTCCAACATCTGGATCTGATTTGGATAAGATCGTCCTTAGAAGCACAGATACTCAATACAGGTAGTTTTGGTCATCATTTTAATTCTGCTTCTGTGCTGCTCTGTGGTACTAAAAAATTAAGAAGGACCTGACATACATGAAGTTGATCACCACCCAGTGATCAATCAATTATAAATACATCTCAATCCTACAGGAAGTCAGTCACGGCCCGGATAGCTCAGTGGTAACGTCTCTGACAGTGAATATGGGTGACACGGGATCAAATTCGTCTGTGATTACAGAAACGTCTTGGTGATGAGTACCAATTAGCACGAAACCATCTTATACCAACATAGTGCACTCAATGTCGAGTAACCTAGATAGGTGGCCACATTTCAACTTGGTCGATGGGATTCGATCTGCACTGGGAAGGACCTGACATAGATGACATTGGTCACCAGTGATCAATCAATTGTAAAGAAAATTAAGTGTTGAAGTTTACAGGTTGCTTTGGTTTACTAGAAAAAAATCTATTTACTCTCAGCTTGGGATGTATCGTTTTAGATGGTTAGACCATTCATTGTACACAGCGATTAATCGTTAAACTTTCGTTGTATATATACTGTCATTGTTTTCGAAATTATGCCTTAAAATGTTTTATTTTTGATTTCCAACTACTAAGAGATTATAAGTAGCATATGCTAGTGTATAAAATTATTTAATGTCATTGTAATGGGTGAGTGTTTGAGTGCATTATATGAAGTGTGTTTTGATATTGTTATTATGATGAATAAGATCATTTCAATATATGATGAACAATCATAAAATCGTGTTTATGAGACTGAATAATTAACAAGATACCTCTAACAAATTGATATTTGAAACAAAAGAGCTATCCAACAGAATGTTTTTGTTCTCTAGCGAAACATAATACCTTTATATACAAAATATTAGGCGTGTAAAAAGAAATCGGCGGATGTCGTAATGGATTGAAGGATATATTTATTTTGTAGGCCTTCGTGTTTATCAAATGACCCTTGTCTCTAGTTACTCTTAATATTCAGTAATTTTTGCTCATTTTTTGTTATGGCTTGTCAATTATGTTATACCATCGCCAATAAAAACACCGACTTATTGACCGAACCGATGACATATAAACCTGCTAGGTTTGAAGCTATTACGAGTTCACTTAGTATGTGAATGGAACAAAAACTTGTGACCGTAGACCAATAGGCTAGCTATTTGATGCGTCCCAGCCCCGCTAACTAGAGGAAGAAGTCCAAGTTTGGAACGGGAAAGTATATTCAGTAAGTCAGAAGCACGAGTGAATAATAACAAACACAAATCAAACGTATATATACAGCATAAAACTGTCCTTGGGAAGCGTAGCAAAAATAGCATACTAAAAGTACACAACTGACCAATAGCGTTAAAGATTCTCCCAAGTGGGAAATACGACATGAAAGTGAAAAGTGCGCTTTTGATGCGAAAACAAGAAAATTTAAATTCCCAACATAAAATAATAAAATTAAGGCATTTACCAAGTGAGGTCTGGGGATCTAACATCCCCAACAACAACAGTACGGACAACCTAGGGTCAGCTGTGAGTTCGTATTGGACCTCCGAGATATTAACTTCTCTCCAGACGGTTCAGTTCAGAACACCAATATCAGCCTCCGCTACATGAATCATGTATTTCCGAGATACGCATTTTATTTGCAAGCAAATCGGACCAGATTTTTACTAGAAAATAGAAAATAACAATTATAAAATAGCAGGTCCAAAGTGGCTGTGAGTGTGAGATACTGTAACTAATTTTGATGGAGTTTTGTTCTCTGAGATGGACGGCTTCCGATATACTTGAGTCTCCAGTTCTCTTGTGTTGGTGCTGGTGATTAATACCTCCTGTTCCTGGTACAGGAGTAAAAAACAAACTACCATTGTTGGATATGCTCATCACAGGAAAACTGTAGACTCAAGTATATCGGAAGCCGACCCACACAGATCAAATTTTCAGTTACAGCAACAACGGCCGTAGAGCCCACAAAATCAACTGCGTACAAACTTTGTTCAAGAGGGCGAGGACACACTGCAACACACTTTGAGCGCAGAAAAATGGAATTAATATCTAAAGGTAATCTCCCAATAAAACGGCTATTCAATCAACTTCATCAAAAAAAATACCAAAAATGCGCCTCAGTAGAAACAAAATCAAGTATAGAAACCAACAAATGGATCATCCTACCATATGTAAAAGGCATATCAGGAATTGTAGCGACATTGTTGGAGCCTTTTGGAATAGGTGTGGCACACAAACCAACAAAATCACTTCAATCGATCCTACACAAATCAAAGGACGAAAGGAGAAAAGAAGAAAAACCGAACATCATCTACAAAATAAATTGTTTTAACTGTGAAAAACACTAAATCGGACAAAGCGGACGTCATCTTCATCTTTGCCTGCATGAACATCAATTAGCGGTCAAACGTCATGACATATACTCGCTTATATCAATGCTTTTGGACAACTGTGGATGCACATTCGACTGGGAAAATGCTGAGATCTTGCATAAAGGCAATTCTAAAAACACTAGAGAATTTTAGAAGCTTGGCACTCAGGTTAATCAGCAATCAACAAACACATTGAAATCCATCCAATTTATCAATCAATCAAAAAAATTATGGACAAATATGGGACCAGAACCAACACAAGAAAACTTGAGACTCAAGTATATCGGAATAAAATCAGTGGCCGATATAATCAAAATAAAGAGGTAAACAATGACAAGTTAAGGGTCAACAATAACCAATGAAGATCGAGGTCTACAGGACAAGCTGTGAGCCATATATGGATAAATTCGAACACTTCACTTCTACCTGAATTTTATGCTGCTGATGACGTCGTTCAAAATAACGATGAAAGCTCCACGACCAAACTATCCTGCTCAGAGAAGATTACTCCATCAAAATCATCCACATGAGCTTCAAATGTTTACTGTAATAATAAACTGGGAACAATCTAATAATAGTAAATCGTATAATAATAGTGAAATGGAAGCTTATAATAAAAAGAATATGAATATACATAAAACATAGTTACTCATTAGTTAAACAGTAATAATATTCTTATGTAATAACAGTCCATAAATAGATACTAGTGTTTACTATTCACTTATTCTTCATCTGGATATAACACTTCCCATTTGTTTTAACTTGTTCCTTACAGTTTTTCCATTTCGTCTTATTGCTCTTGTTTTTCATTATGTCTTCAGTATGTTGATTTACACTGAGTTGGTACGCATGAAATGCATATATTTGGATCGATCCATTATTCTCTTGGGTTGAGCGCTTATTTACTTGTCTGCTTGCCTACCAAAACTATGTTTGGGATTATACTACAGTGAAGTATCTACACCGTTTATAAACTCCCATTTCTTCATAAGCCCACTGTTATATGCACACTAAAGACTAATAGTGTTTATGTAAGAACACGTGAGCAAATTATTTCACTGACTAAGTTTAAAATTACGGTGTTTTCACACAGTTCTAACTAACATTTGCAGTTAAAATATTCTATTCCTCAATCCTTGTACCCAATATAGGCCTATTAAAATTCCGATTACAGAAGCCATAACATTTGGTTGTGAAGGTTCGCCTGACTCGCCTGAGTGGTTTCATTATTTTCAGTGTGCGTATCGAGGAATAAAAGACTATGTAGACAAGTTGAATTTGGTACGTTCATATATCCGTTTGTCTTTTTCTAATGACAGCACATATCTTGTCAGCTTTGTTTCAACATTTTAGGTCATCATTATCCATAACAAGCTTATGTAGGGCTTGTGGTAATACTTTGCTGCTTAATTATATAGTATGGGTGTAAACTGATCATCTTATAAGAAATTCAATAACAGTGGTCGTAGTAGAAATTCCAATCATATCCTTACAGATGTTAATGTAGTTAATTGTTCTAAGTTAGTACATCAGATCGGCAGACTAACTTTTAAAGTTTTAGACACGGAGGTTATGATAATATTTGAATTCTACTGCCACTGTTTAAATCTTGAAAACTAAATTTTCTCTTAATTTCACTCACCTACTGTTTATTCACAAAAAGGACATTCTGTTGTGGCATTATATTAACCTATTTCCGTTCACTTTTATCGACTACTGATGTTGGCTGTACATGTAACTGCTTCACTATCCTCTGCGTTAAATCATCACATTTAGAAAAACTTTTGTTCCTGCTGTGCATAGTGAGTTTGTAACATTTAGACCAAGGAAGCACTTGATTCAATACAAAATGAAGGCCGCCTAATTTCAAGTATTTTTTCACACATTCTTCATAACGTGCTTATCTTAAACCATGTGGTTTTTCCGAGGTCATTTTTCTAGATTAATATAATCTAATCTAATGGAAGGTAAAAGGAACAAAATACTGAAATGTTAATCAGTCAACTTCGGTGGAAGTGAAGCGAATACTATTGCCTAAATGGTTAGAGTGTAGTTATGACAACATGATAGTTTTGTCGAAAATTTAAACAAAGTGAGTTATTGACAACACGTTTATGCGGTTTTTATGCATCAGCTACTGTGCTGTCTAGTTAATTAGTGAGTTCTTATCATATTTTTCGTTGATTTACTTTTACGCACTGGATACATTTTTGAATTGCGAATTGAAAATCTTATTCATTGTTTATTTTCTAATAGGATTGGACTCCTCCTAGTCTAAATGTACTAGTTGGTGATGTTGAATATGGTGGTTTATGGCCAGCTGCTGGTCTTTCAAGCAGTAGCGCTTTCGTAGTTGCTTCTGCCATAGCAATTATGCGAATATCTGGTTTAAAAATAAGTAGAGTAAGTGGAAAGTAGAAAAGTTGTAAATAAAGAGAACAAAGTATTCTTTTGTGCTTCCATCTTAAATATTATGTCTACGATTATTTTCCTTTTTCCCTAAAACAACTAGAATTTACTGCTTTCTACATATGTAATGGTAGCGGTAACAATATATTTGTTCGATATAATAAAACTCCATCTGTAGCGTTTCTGTGGTTACTCCCGGTCCCAAGCCTGGATAAAGGAGGAAGGTTGAGCATGGGATCGGCAACCACATCCTGTTGTAAAACACCTTGCTAAAAATGCTCAAACCAGAAAAAATTGAAACCATTTAAGTTCTGCCATGGGAGTTGAAGAATTATGACGCCTCATGGTAATAGCCAAGATTATTTGAAAATCACGAGGCCGATCCCCTTTCGACGACGATTAATGTAGGTACATGAAATGTCCGAACAATGTAGGAGACTGGGAGGACAAGTTAAACAGCTGCGGAAATGAGGGAATACAATTTGGCGGTCCTTAGATTAACTGAAGCCAATTGAACCCAAGCTGGACAGGAAAGACTAGCTTCGGAGAGATGCTGCTGTTCTCACACCCGAGGAGTTGCACTGATGCGGTCCAAAGAAGCACATGAAGCACTTGTAGGATAGGAATCTCATGGATCAAAGATCATGGACAACGCCGAATATGAAGATATCATGGGACGACAAGGACTGGGAGGAAGAAATCAGAATGGTGACAGATTTGTAGACCCACGTGCATTCAACAAAATGGTTATGAGCGTCACAATATTCCCACACAAACGCATACAAAAAGCTATGTGGATCTCACCGGACCACACTACAGAGAACCACATCGATCATATCTGTATCACATAACATTCAGAATGTCAATCGAAGACGTGAGAACCAGGAGAAGAGTTGACATAGCTTCATATCGCCACAAACTGGTGGTTGCCAAGATGAAAATGAAGCCAAAGAAACATTTGACAACTGGAGGAACAGCATTACAAAAGTTCAATTCAGACTTGCCTCGACATACTGACAAACTCAACGAATTCAAGATAGCTCTCAACAAAAATTTCCAAGCCTCACAAAATCTACTCAAAGATGAAACTACTATGGTGGACAACTTGAGATGGATTAATGCAACACTAACCCCAACGTGTCAAAATGTGCTGGGCCGCAAGAAGCAACGTTATAAGGAATAGATCTCCATGGGAACCCTGGAAAAGATTCAAGAAAGGAAAGACAAGAAGACAGCAATTAACAACAGCCGAGCAAGAGTAGAGTAATTCGAGGCATACCTAAATACACAGAAGCAAACAAAAGAGTGAAGAGGAACATCAGAGCTGACAAGCATTAATACGTTTAAGACCTAGAAACGCCAGCAGAAGAAGCTACGAGAGAAGGAAGTATGAAACAACCATATAATGCAACGAAGAAGCTTCCATGGCAATATGGTAAACCAGAGCATCTTGTCAAAAGCAAACAAGGCAAACCAACACTAAGATTCACGAACAGCGGGACAGGTGACTAGAAAATTTCGTAGAACTCTTGAACAGATCAGCCCTGCTGAACCCATTGGACATCGAAGCAGCGTACACAGATCTTCTCATATATGTTACCCCAACAACGATCGAAGAAATTAGGATGGTTATTGGACAAGAGTAGGAAAGCAGCAGAACCTGACAACGCACCGGTTAAAGTACTGAAGTCAGACGTAGAAGTAACTGTAAAGATACTCCACGTTCTATTCAGAATGATTTGGGATTAAGAACAAGTGCCGACAGACCGGAAAGGATACCGCATCAGGAGATCTGAGCAAGTGTAGGAACTTCAGAGGCATCACACTACTATCAGTACCAGGAAACGTTTTCAACAGTGTTGCTGAAACAGGTGAAAGACTCAGTGAATCATCAACTTCCAGATCAACAGGCTGGATTCCATAAGTATCGGTCGTGCACAGTCCAAATCGTGACACTACGGATCATTTTTGAACCATTAATTGGATGGAAATTATCACTATACACTAACTTCCCTAACTATGAGGAAGTAGTTGAAGCGCCGACAGGAGGACGTTATACAACTCTCTTCGACACTGTGATGTACTTGACAAGATCTTCACCACCATATGGAATTCTTACGACGGCTACACTACAAAGTGATGCATGAAGGACAACTCACAGATTCATTGTAAGTGAAGATCGGTATTAGACAAGGCTGCCTACTTGCTCTCGTCTTTTCTCTTTCATCTGGTGGTTGAATGGATTAAGAAGACCTCCATATCTGAGAGAAAGCATAGAAACCTTGGACGCAACTAAACAATCTAGACTTTGTGGATCACTTAAATCTTCTATCCCGTACACAAAAACGAATGCAGATGAAGGCAAACAATGTAGTAACAACCTCTGGAGCAATAGGCCTCAACATTCACAAGGCAGGAAGATCCTGAAATATAACACAGCGAGCACCAGCCGAACCAAAATTGATGGAGATGCTCTGGAAGTTGTGGAAATTTCTAACATACCTGGGAGCGTTATTGATAAACACGGGGGATCTGATGCAGATATGAAGGCGTGGATTGGCAAAGCCAGCAGAGCATTCCCACGACTGAAGAACACATGGAACTCGAAACAACTGTCAACCAATATCAAACTCAGAATCTTCAGTACGAACGTCAAGACAGTGAGTTATATTGTACGGAGCTGAAACTCAGAGAACTACCACAACCATAATCAATATGGTACAATTATTTATAAACAATTGTCTACGTAAGATACTCAATGTCTGTTGGCCGAATACCATCAGCAACAACCTACTGTGACAGAGGAAAAACCAGCTTCCAACTGAAGAGGAAATTAGAAAAAGACGTTGGAGGTGGATTGAACATACATTGTGGAAATCATCAAACTGTATCATGAGGTAAGCACTAACTTGGAATCCTGAAGGAAGTCGGGAAAAAGGAAGACCAATGGACGCATCGCGTCAGGAAGTGTAGGGAGACATCAAGAAAATGAGTAGTAATAGGAAACAATTCATTCATTTATTGTCACATACCTTGAATGCAAAACGTTTGAAGTACAATTCGAAAATTCATAAAGTAGTTGGTAATTATGTTTATTATTTTAAGTCATAATATCTTTTGAATTCTCTGAAAGTTCACACTATAATCTGGATCAAATGATGCTTGGTGAAAAAATGTTGACTGAAATATTGCGATGCGGCGGTTAAATGACAGCATGTCTTTTATATATATAAGTAGCAAGCACGTTTACTACTTATCTACCTTATAATGCAATTAAAAAGTTAATCATTGCTGCCGTACTTTTCAATGTATCTTTCATTAATATTCATTTGTTATGTAAATAATCTTGCGATTAAATTTTTTTTATTAAATTATTTGTTTGTGTCAATACTTAGCAATTTCGTTGTAGTTAGATCTTCAAAGTTTTCTGTGATTTCGATTTTCCTCTCCAGCATGAATTAGCAAGTTTATGTGCGAAATGTGAGCAGTATATTGGTATGCAAGGTGGTGGAATGGATCAAGCTGCAAGTGTTCTAGCAGTTGAAAATAATGTAAGATCATTGCTTCTGTGCCTATTTATTGAATAATATCAAAATAAAACTTTTTTTATTCATTAATGCCTTGCTTACTTATTCATTTTTTCTTATATTATTTCCTTTTAGGCCTTAATGATTGAGTTTACCAAACCATTTGTCACAGTCAGTCCTATTCAATTGCCATCTGATATGGTTTTTGTGATAGCTCATTCGGGTGTACACGCTCGCAAAGCTGCTACATCATATTATAACGAACGTGTGGCAGAATGTCGATTAGCTGCTAAAGTAAGCTTACAGTTGCGATGTTTAATAATCTGATACTTGAAAAAGTCTTTTCTTGGCTTTATGTGCATGAAGCTTTAAATATTTTTAGGTTAAAATGTTCTATCCAAATCCCAACAGTTACTGTACACAGACTATGGTAAACATTAATTTTGATTCGTGCTATGGTTTAGTAATTAGTGCACTTAGTTTTTAACCGTTTGTTTGCATGCTAGAATCCCGTCATATGTTTGATCTATATGATTAAGTGGTATTAATAGCCTTCACCTGATGCGTATAGCTTGAAGGCACACACACATAACTTTGTACTTCGTCGTTCAGTTATATTGTTTTAGGTGAGTTAATCATATTTTATATATCATAGCATCGGTTCATGATGTGGGAGTGAGGTGTATTGGTAGATGCACACTACGTGATCGGAGTCCACATAAGATGACATTTTGTCGATGTGTTCGTTCTTTATCTTGCTTCAAGTATTATCTAGTTTTTCATTTTACTAATCTACTAATCTATTAATGTTTGGTCTTTCTCACTTTCACTAATGGTGTAGTGAACAGAACACGGGTTGGGACAATCAAATGTATTTAAAACAAAATTACAGGACTTGTTAATAAAATCTAACAATCATAAAATGAATGCTTAATTTGAAAAATGTCCATCAATTGTCTCAAAATGACTCAGACTTCATTGTTCTTGGACTTTTATACAAGTTGCATCCTGTTTCCATTCTTTACTGTTCGATCCTCTTGTCTCTCTAGTCTTTTAGAAATGTAGTTAATTCCACGAGATCGCTAAAAAAAGTAATATCGTCTTATATATTATGAAAAATAATTTCATATCATCTAGTAATTAAATTACAAAGATCGAAATATAATTTCAACCTTACACGAGTCATCTATGAATAACACAGAAAGTCAGCCATCTAACGGCATGTATGATTGACAAACAATCCTGTCAGCTGTCAGATAAAACACTCATGATAAATAGGGATACCTAAAATGTAAGACGAATTCAAGATTACCTCAATAATAACCCGGGAATAGGAAGTGTTTATATTCATTAAACTCCCTCACCTCCACTATAATAGTCAACGTGGAACTATCAATATATACTTGTAAATTTGTTAGTTTTATGGTAGAGGTCAACTCTTAGAATCCATCCTATACCATAAGATTTATATTTCAGACAAACAGATATATAGATAGTATACTGGTAATGATCTTGGTTACATTTTCTTGGCACTTCAGAGTTAATTATTATTATTTTTTCTGAGATTAGGTATTGTTTTTATCTTTTAAAATGTACAATGATACATTTATAAATGCGAAGGAATTGTCTGTTAATTTTAATACCATGTGTTCGTAACATAATCTATCTTTATCGTTCGTCAGAATTGATTTATGGTTGACTTTGTACACAATGACTATATATATATATATATATATATATATATATATATATATATATATATATATATATATATATATATATATATATATATATATATATATATATATATATATATATATATATATATATATATATATATATAAAGTTCATGTGTTTTCTCCGCATTTAACAACAGATAACTTCTGTTCTCATTTTCAGGACATACATCTGGTCATTTTAGTAGTGCACTACCACTACTACTAATAGTAGCAGTGGTTGTAGTAGTAGAATTAGTAGTAGCACTAATAACTGCATGGAATAACTGGCACACATCTGTTTTCTTCTTTACTTTTCTTGTAAAATACCGAAAAAAATGATAAATGGCACCGTCTCTTGATTTACGTAGTCTGAAATTGTAAAAACAACACATGTAGATTATATTGTGCATTTCATAAAATCTAAGCTACTTTAATGGTTTTTACGTAAGAAACAAACCCTAAGTAGGAAAACAGAAAGATTCCTTGTAGTTTCTTCTTTAATGTTCCTTTTAGAACTAATCAGTACTAGGAATCGTCTTATTTATAATTTCAGTTTGTTTTTCTTTACCGGTAATATTTGTATGTATATGTGTACATAGTTGTAAAGTGCATTGGTTTATTAGAAATGTTAATTAACCCTGAAATTCGGTTTACTCACTTATCTATAGCGCAGTTAGTTTCACTGCGCCTATGACACTAGTCCATATGCACAAAATGTCATTCATCTATTTCCGTACAATAAGTATCTTGTGTCAAACGGTTCAGGTTATAAGTAGAGGAAAAGCAGGTGACGTTCTGTAATTCAGCTCTATCAAGTATTGAATATTTTCCGAGGAGCAATCATAAATCTAAATTATTAAAAGAGCAAAAACTTTCGTACCTGTATTACACAGAATAATAAACTCATTATTATCACTATTACTCTAAATAGTATATTGTAAGTTCGTTTTTGTATTAGTTGTTTGGATCTTCCCATTGATGTTTATTTATTTATTTATTTATTTATTTGAACACATAAATATTGGTACAAGAGAGCGCCAATATATATGCGCCACACAAAACAATGAAAATTCGAAGAGAGATAGAAAAAAAAAACTAAGGACCACAAAAGGTAGTGTGGTCGTAACGATGGAACAGAAAGGTACAATCAGAAGAAATCTTTCAAGTAAGGGAGACACAACCACTTTTTATGAAAAAAGTAAAAGAAGGTTACAGCAGGATTGCCACTGGCTTCTATTCTGAGCCATATCTGATAACGTCTCTAGCCACTGTGCTGCACCATCTCTCGGACCCCAGCCAGGGAGTCGTGAAGGACCAACACAAGCCAGTCCTTTGCAGCCTTCTTTCATGCCACGACACCATGTCATGCACTGACCACCTCTCCGCTTTTTCCAACCAGTCCCAGAGTCGACAAATAATGCACGACGTGGAATTCTCTGGGACGACATTCGTAGAACATGTCCAAGCCACCGAAGTCGGTGTTTCAAGATGGTGACACCAATTGAATTATCATCTCTGTGCTCCAACACACGATGCCGAACCTCTGCATTACTGACATGGTGTTGCCACTGAATGTCAGCAATCCTTCGGAGACAGCGATGATCGAACACAGAGAGTCGTCTAACGTCCTCAACTCGGAGAGGCCAGGTTTCACAAGCATAGAGCAAAACTGCTCTCACCGACGCGTTGTAGATCCGACCTTTTACAGCCAGACTAACATCACGAAGGCGCCAAAGATGGCCCAGATTGGCATAAGCCACTCTGGCTTTCACTATACGTGCATTGATCTCATCACTCACACCCCACCAGCACTTATGCAGCTACCCAGATACACGAACTTCTCGACTACGTCTATCTGCTCACCATCCAGGGTGAGTACAGGATTGGAATCCTGCCAGTCTTGTAGAAGTACTTTGCACTTCGAAGGTGCAAAGCACATACCATACCTACGGACACTGATTGCCAACTGATTAAGTGTGGATTGCATGGCTTGAGCATTATCGCACAGTAAGACAATATCATCCGCATACTCAAGGTCGAGAAGTCTTTCTCCAGGCAACAGATCCACACCGCCATTACTTACATCCATCAGAGCTGTTTCCAGAATTTCGTCGATGGCAAAGTTGAAGAGGAATGGTGAGATTGGGCAACCCTGCCTAACCCCACTACTCGAATGGAACAATGGAGAGAGGTGGTTGTATGCCCTCACTCTGCCTGAGGTGTTTGTGCATAGGGCTTTTAGGATGTTAATAAACTTCTCAGGCACACCCTTCTTCAATAGACAATACCAGAGAACAGTCCTGTCCAACGGATCGAAGGCAGCCCTGATGTCAAGAAACACTACGATTGTTGGCCTTTGATAAGTATGGCGATGTTCTAACATTTGGCGGAGGGTGAAGATATGATCAATACAACCTCGACCAGAACGAAACCCAGCCTGCTCCTCGCGAGTCAATCTTTCTCGGGTTTTGAACAACCTACGAAGTATGACGGAAGCCAATAGCTTGGACGCAATCGGAAGTAGACTTATCCCCCGATAGTTGTTACAGGAACGACGTGAACCCTTTTTAAAGATAGGGACAACTATCGACTCATTCCATGACGTTGGTACACTTTCTAATTCCCAAACCTTTGTAAACAACGTCGTCAATTCCTTAGTCAAAAAGTCACCACCATCTTTAAAAAGAGCCGGAGGTAAGTCATCTGGGCCAGGTGATTTGTAACGCTTCAAGAGTTGGAGTTCCTTGCGGACTTCCTCCTCTTTTGGTGGATCAGTCGTCACCGGCCATGGAGGGCAGGACAGTCTGACCGATGTTGCCGGAGCAGCAGGCCAGTTGAACTGCCCTTCGAAAAATTCTGCCCATCGTCCAAGACGTCGATGGATGTTAGTGATTGGCATCCCATCATCCTCGCAGGTTGTTTCACTCACACCAGACTTCTTGCTGCCAGTGGCTCGGATGAGCTGGAAGAGCTTCCGGTAGTTACCAGATGCAGCTGCTGCTTTCAACTCATTGACACGCTCCGACCACCAGGCTTCTCGGTCCTTACGCAAGCTTTGCCCAATTTCCTTACGTAACATCCTACGTTTATGGTCAGACTCACGGTCACCCGGAGTAGACCGACGGGCTTCAATAAGTTGTAAGGAACCTGCAGAAACCCTGTGCTTATAAGCGGGACGTTTCGCAAACCCACAACTGACTGTTCCCGCCATTTTCATGGCGTCAAGCAATTGCAGCCAATGCTCATCTATACTTTTCGGTGGAGTGGTAGCTAGCCTAGAGGCTAGCTCGGTTCGATACTTACTTGCAACAGAAGTTGCAACCAGCTCGCTAATATCAATCCTTTGATGGTGGTCACTTCGTTGTCCACTGAAAACTAAGGCAAGATTGGCGCAGACCAAGGCATGGTCAGAGTCCAGATAGGTACTCCAAAAGGAGCGGCAGTCTTTTACACAACCACGCCAGCGGTAGCTGATCGCGATGTGATCAATCTGAGTCCAGGCTTGGGATGCAGAGGGAGGACGCCTGGTGGCACATCGGCGATGACTGTGCTGAAAGTTAGTTCGAGCCAGAAACAGGTTCTGGTCTGTGCAAAGTTGCAGTAGACGGTCCCCGTTATCTGACCTGCGACCAGCGAGTCCCCATCGGCCACCTAAACGACTCTCTTCTGTGCCTAGACGCCCGACCTGAGCATTCAAGTCTCCGGCTAGTACTACAATATCTGTCGAGCGCACTTTCTGGAGAAGAACAGATAATTGGTGGTAAAACTCATCCTTGATTGCATCCCGGGTGCAATCTGTCGGGGCATAGGCGGAGATGACGAAAAGACATCGTTTCTCACGCCGATTTCTTCTCACTTTGATGGAACTTTCTAATCTAACAGCACATAGCCGACTGTTAATGGGGATCCAATCAACTAGTGCTGCCTCAGCTCTAGCGCTTAGTGCGACACCAACGCCAGCAAGACCAAACGAAGATGCCACAGGATCCCCGGATAAGCGCACGTAAAATAAGCTTTTTGAAGCGACAGATGGAGATCGAATTTGTAGTACTTCGCCAGAGTCTTGAATACGGGTCTCGGATAGACAACAAACATCAATATTAAGACTTTCCAAATACATAGCCAGCCCTATCTGTTGTCCGACCTGCACTAGTGTGCGAACGTTGAAGGCAGCCAGTTTGAATGGTGCAAGTGGTTTCAGAAAAACTGCTTCGGTTCTCGTATTCGGTGGTAACATACAATTTTCAACCGGACAGTGACTCGAGAACGTTTAGATACAGTCGAATTTCCACCAAAGACGAGCCGCTGTATAAGTATGAAAGAGGGTGAACAATGTGGAAAATAATAATAATAACAATAATAATAATAATAATAATAATAATAATAATAATAATAATAATGACAATAATAGTAATAATTATTTGAATCGATTGAATGTTGATCGGAGCGAGGAAATTAGTTGACATAGTCATAGAGTTCATGGTTTGTGTGTGGGCTGTGATACTGCCCGGGTGCCCAAACCGACGCAGGTGGTTATCTTAGGGGGCCACACCCCGAGCCTTTGACCTAATGGTCTAACCCACAAGGCAGTGGAGCATCGTAAGGAGATGCAATCCCATGGTAGCCGGTGACCAACGATTGGTTCATACTCCATTTGTTCCCGCAGGATACTGGAGCCCATGTGCACCATTGGTTTGTGATCCGGTTAAAGCGCCGGACGTTCGCTTTTCGTCCACTCATTTTCGTAAACAACACCCCCGCCACGAGAAGGCAATGAGTAGGACTTCCCTGGCAGAGGCTGTATACGCGCGGCCGTGTGAGAGTATTTCGAGAGGGAGAGCGGACTCTCCCCACTCTCGGCCGTACCAGGGTGTTCGGGGGCCATTGATGTTTAGGACTTCGATTGATCAGTCTCTTAATGTGTTCATTCTGTGCGGATTTCGTCGATATCACTAAGTCGCAAGCATTATAAGCAGAGATACATGATGGTCTTCAATCTTATTTATTTTAACACCAGGTTATATGACTTCGCAAATCGTTATTTAAAGATAAATAAAAATATGTTTTAGGCTGATTCTTTTAATTATTCGAATTATGTCATGAGGATTAAAAACAGTTGTCCTCATTATCCTTATGTTTTATTTTTAAAAAAAACTGCTCTGTTTTCTAGATATTAGTTCGAAATAGCCCGCATATAACTGAACCTTCTAATTATTCATCCATTACACCCTTATGTCTCAGTGATGCACAAAAGTTATGGAAAGCAGTTTCACCTGATGAAATGATACGCATTCAAAAGGATGGACTCTCAATTGTAACTAGATATCTACCAAGTGATATTACTAGTCGAGAAAATCTCTGTAATTTAGGCTTGACTAGTCCAATTATTGAAGGGTGCTTAACAGAAAATACTAAAACAAGTATGTTTCACGTACAATAGGTTATAATTTTTCAAATATCATATAGTTTTTCTTTTTCGATAAACTAAAATACATTTTAATTTTCAATCTCTTTAGTGTCAGATAATCATTAGTGGGTGTACAGTTTAACATTTTTGCAGTAAATCTAAACTAATGGTACAGCGGTAAAACTTGCGGTTGATTTGTTTGTGATTGGTGCTATCATTTGAAACAACAATCGCAAGAATTGATAAACAAGTTACGTGGTTTTATGAAGAGTTTTGAAAATTTTTGCGTTGGTCATCATCACAAATAGACTTTTAAATACTTTCTTTAGTGTCATAGCGCTCTCTTCGAAATGTGGAGGTCCTGAGTTTGATCTCATGTGGAGACGTCGGTCTACATTGCCAAGCAGATTTAATCTAAAACAAAGAAACTATATTGATGACTCTATCAGTTTTCAACCCATCCCGTAGAAAACTAACTCGCTAAAAAAACGCTAACCAGAAAAAAATTATTCAGACCATTTAAACTCTGCCCTGGGAGTTAGAAGGTCTTCATTTAGAAGAATTATGACGCTTCATGGTGAAAGCCGAGTTCCTTCGGAAGCCACGAGGCCGATGCCTCTTCTAACAACCAGAGCAACAATTTTTATAGGTACATGAAACGTCCGAACAATGTGGGAGACCGGGAAGGCCAATCAAATAGCAATGGAAATGAGGAGATACAATTTGGCAATACTGGGAATCAGCGAAACCCATTGGACCCAAGCTGGACAACAAAGGTTAAATACGGGAGAGATGCTGCTATACTCCGGTCACGAAAAGGAAAATGCTCCACACACCCAGGGAGTTGCTCTAATGCTGTCCAAATTAGCACGAAATGCACTTGTAGGATGGGAATCTCATGGATCCAGAATCATCAAAGCATCATTCAAAACAAAGAAGGAAGGGATTTTAATGAATATCATTCAATGTTATGCACCCACCAATGATAGCAACGACGATATTAAAGATCAATTCTACGATAGGCTGCAGTCAATCATAGAGAAATGCCCAAGAAAGGACCTCACCATTCTGATGGGAGATCTAAATGCCGAATTCGGAATAGACAACACCGGATTTGAGGATATTATGGGACGACATGAACTGGGATAGAGAAACGAAAATGGGGAAAGATTTGCAAATCTGTATGCACTCAACAAATTGGTCATAGGAGGCACAATATTTCCACACAAGCGTATACACAAAGCTACATGGATCTCACCGGACCACACTACAGAGAACCAGATAGATCATATTTGCATCAACAAAAAATTCAGAAGAACAATGGAAGATGTGAGAACCAGGAGAGGAGCTGATATAGCTTCAGATCATCACCTAGTTGTGGCCAATTTAAAACTGAAGCTAAAGAAAAACTGGGCAACTGGACAAACAGCATTACAAGGGTTCAATACAGCCTTCCTTCGAGATACTGACAGACTAAATGAATTCAAGATAGCTCTCAACAACGGGTTCCAAGTCTTACAGGATCTACTGAAGGAACAAGAAACTACTATGGAAGACAACTGGAAAGGGATCAAAGAAGCATTAACTTTAACGTGTCAAGAGGTTCTGGGCCTAAAGAAGCACCATCATAAGGAATGGATCTCTATAGAAACACTGGACAAGATCAAAGAAAGGAAGAACAAGGAGACAGCAATTAACAACAGTCCAAGCACAAGCTGAATACACAGAAGCAAACAAGCAAGTGAAGAGGAGCATTAGAACCGATGATAAGAAGTACGTGGAAGAACTAGCAACGACGGCGGAAAAAGCTGCTAGAGAAGGAAATATGAAACAGCTTTACGATACAACGAAGAAACTATCAGGAAAATACAGTAAACCAGAGAGACCGGCCAAAGACAAAGAAGGCAAGCCAATCACTGAAATTCAACAACAGTGGAACAGATGGGTAGAATACTTCGAGGAACTCCTGAATAGGCCAGCTCCAATGAATACACCGGACATCGAAGCGGCACACACATATCTTCCCATAGATGTCAACCCACCAACGAAGGAAGAAATCAGAATGGCCGTCAGACAAATCAAGAACGGGAAAGCAGCAGGACAGGACAACATACCAGCTGAAGCTCTGAAGTCAGACATCGAAGTAACTACAAACATGCTTTAACTTCTATTCAAAAAGATTTGGGAGGAGGAACAAGTACCGATGGACTGGAAAGAAGGACACCTCATCAAGATTCCAAAAAAGAGATCTGAGTAAATGTGAAAACTACAGAGGCATCACACTGCTGTCAATATTAGGGAAAGTTTTTAACAGAGTGTTGCTGAACCAGATGAAAGATGCAGTAGACGCCCAACTTCAACAAGCTAGATTCCGTAAGGATCGGTCGTGCACAGACCGAATTGTGACACTACGGATCATCGTTGAACAATCATTTGAGTGAAACTCGTCACTATACATCAACTTCATTGATTATGAAAAGGCATTCGACAGTGTGGATAGAAGGATGTTATGGAAACTTCTTCGACACTATGGAGTTTCTGAGAAGATTGTCAACATTATCCGGAACTCATATGACGGACTACAGTGCAAGTTCGTGCATGGAGGACAGCTGACAGACGCATTCCAAATAAGGACCGGAGTCAAACAAGGCTATCTACTCTCTCCCTTCTTCTTTCTTCTGGTGGTCAACTGGATTATGAAGACCTCGACATCTGAGGGAAAACACGGCATACAATGGACAGCTCAGAACCAATTAGACGATTTGGACTTCGCAGATGACCTAGCCCTCCTATCGCGTACACACGAACAAATGCAGATAAAGACAGCCAGTGTAGCAGCAATCTCTGCATCAGTAGGCCTCAACATACACAAGGGGAAAACCAAGGTCCTCAAATTCAAGGCGGAGAACAGCAATCCAATCACTCTTGATGGCGAAACTCTAGAAGATGTAGAATCCTTCACATACCTGGGAAGCATCATCAATGAACAAGAAGGATCAGATGCAGACGTGAAGGCAAGGATTAGCAAAGCAAGGGCCGCATTCCTACAATTGAAGAACATACAAAACTAAAAACAACTGTCAACCGATATCAAAGTCAGAGTCTTTAATACGAACATCAAGACAGTCCTACTGTACGGGGCTGAAACTTGGAGAACAACTAAAACCACCATCAAGAAGGTGCAAGTATTTATAAATAGTTGTCTACGCGAGATATTTAACATCCATTGGCCGGATACCATCAGCAACAGATTTTTGTGGGAGAGAACAAACCAGCTTCCAGCTGAAGTGAAATTAGGGAAAGACAATGGAAATGGATAGGACATACATTACGCAAATCATCAAACTGCATCACGAGGCAAGCCCTAACTTGGAATCCTGGATGGAAGCGTAAAAGAGGAAGATCAAAGAACACGTTACGTCGGGAAATAGAAGCAGATATGGAAAGGATGAATAACAACTGGGAGAAGCTGGAATTGATTGCTCAGGACAAGGTTGGATGGAGAATGCTGGTGAGCGGCCTATGTTCCTTCACGAGGAGTAACAGGTGTAAAACTAAGTAAAGTATATTGAAAACGTTCTTTGGAATGAACAGTTTATTTTTATCCTCTCACTCATTACTTTTATTTACATTTAAATTTAGTGAACCACTTCTATTTAAGAGATCGTGCAGAACATGTATACTCTGAGGCTGAACGGGTTTTTAAATTTTACAATATATGCAAAAAGATATTTAGTAATAATGATTCGAAAACGAATTATATTAATTATATGCAGTTGTTAGGAGATTTAATGAATCAAAGTCAATTATCTTGTGCTAATCTTTATCAGTGTTCTTGTCGTGAATTGGATAAATTAATAAGTGTTTGCAGGTTAGTGATTTGTCAAAATTAACTCTCAGTTCAATCATTTACAAAATAATAGTGGTGATTTATTGATCAGTTTCAAGTTATGAGATTTTTGTTTGTGTGCAGTGGTTGTTTAGATAATTTATTGTGTGTTTCAAACAGTTTAATTCAATAATGTAATTGAGTACCAAAACTAAGGTTTATGGATTCGACTGTGAGGTACATATTTCACTGTGAGAGTGACAACTAAGTATACTACTTGACTGCTATAATCAAAATAAATGGATATGAATTCAAAGCTCTAATTTTCATGGTTCGTGTTAGACCATCTCTCACTTTGTAATACAAGTAAACTGAATAAATGATTCGAGAAAATGCTGATAAATACTTTAAGGTACAGGTGTCTGAACATCCTGTATTAACATTTTTTGGTCCTTTTGGTACTAACGTGTAATGAAACATTTGTAGCTGCAGTTCCTCTGAGGATATATGAACGTAAAGTTTTGATTTATAACAATTTTTCAGTGATCTTCAGGTAATATTTATGTACCTTGGCCTTTTTTCAATCCTGCACTATTTGTTCTTTTACATTCATGTTCTTAGTTGTTCGATTCCTTACATCACTTTTTATGTGTGTTTTCATCTAATTTGAATATTTTCGTATGGCTTATGACGTATTTCCATTGCTCTTATTAACACAAATTCCCTGTCTTGCTATTATTATTATTATTATTATTATCATTATTATTATTGTTATTATTATTATTGCTTATATACTTACCGCCTACTTATCACTTTATATTTGATGTCTAGTACGCATTTTACAGCTTTTTATTTTATTTGAACACATAGATATTGGTACAAGGAGACACCAGATACATATGCGCCACACAAATCTCATTTGTTTTGTATGAGGGCTGTGATACTGCCCGAGTGCCCAAACCGAAGCAGGTGGTTTTCTTACGGGGCCACACCCGAAGCCTTCGACCTAAAGGTCTGATCCACAAGGCAGTGAAACAACATCAGGAGATGCAGTCTCATGGTAGCCGGTGATCATCGACTGGTTCATACGCCATTTGTACCACAGGATACTGGAGCCCATGTGCATCAATGGTTTGAAATCAGGGTCCTCCAACCTCCCTAGGTGGACTCTCTGTGTCCACCAACCCGGTTAAAGCGCCGGACATTCGCTTTTCGTCCTGTCAATTTCGTAAACAACACTCCTTCACGAGAAGGTAGTGAGTAGGGCTTCCCTGGCAGATGCTGTATACGCGTGGCCATGTGAGAGCATTTCGAGAGGGAGAGAGGACTCTCCCCACTCTCGGCCGTACCAGGGCTTTTGGGGGCACATGTGTAGCATTTTACAGCTACATATATTCAATTCATATGAGCATCAGACTGAAAACCATTGTTGTTTGGTTAGTTGTTTACTGTTCTACCCCTCACCATGGATTTTGCTAGTTTCCTTTTCAGCCAAAATACTGAGTTAAGAGTTCACTTATTTGTATTTTTGATAATTTAGATTATAGATAACAGTTTCCCCCAAATTCATTTTCATTCTTATCTGAGAAAAGTGGATTCATCTAACTTAGGTGTTAAAAGGAGTTAATTAGTATTTTTTTTAACTGAAAAGATTACTGTGTTCTTTTTATGTTATTAAGGGTGAGCTGGAACTCTATGGCTTAGGTACCGAACTTCCAAACGTTCGGTCGTGAATTAGTGGCTTAGTCATATGTTAACCTTTGGTTAGTAAATTTATATTGTCATGTTACCCATTGACAATTCATTTCCTGTGTATTTTCTTTGATATCTAGTTTCATGAATGTAGTTTTCCTTATTTTTACCATACTGAGCCTTTAGTCTTTATTTATCTTAATTTCGTACTTTTCATTCTATGCATTCCACTTGTAAAGTCAAAGTGAAGTAGTTGACCTGATTAGTAAGCTGTATAAAATAATAGAATTTCGCTTCCTATTCACTTTCAGTTTATTCGAAATCAGAATCTCGCTCAACCAGTTTAGATATGTACAAGTTCATACTCACTTCATTTTCATGAACCTTAGAAGTTGGATAGTATTGTTTTTGAAGTTTCACGAGAGGTATACTCTATAAAGAGTCAGTTAGAGTATATCTACTGAATTTGAAAATTTCAAAGCCATGTGCAGTTGAAATTTTCACTGTTATTATTTTGTTATTAATTACTAATCTCTAGGTGAGTACTTTCAAAACAGCTTTTAATTGAAGTGTAAGTCATAGGTTAATCAAACTTTCTGTTGATGTTATCTGTGAAGTAGGATTTGTATAGTATGCGTTTAAGTAGACTATTCAACCACTAGCCACTATATTAAGATGAGTATTTATTTATTTTTATAAGCTGACGATTTGTCTTCAATAAACTTATTTTACAGATCAGCTGGTGCTTTCGGTAGTCGTCTAACTGGAGCAGGTTGGGGTGGTTGCACCGTATCATTAGTGAAAAAATCTAATGCGGAACAATTCATTGCAAAAGTACGCGAAGAATTCTATAATGTGATTGGTGCTGGCAGTAACAACGACTTGATATTCGTTAGTCAACCAGGTCGTCCAGCTGGAATAATGGTTATTTGATGAATAAAGTGATTCCTTTTGATCACGCTTCATTATTTAAAAAAAAATTTCATTTACTTTTGTGATTGATTTATTTTGTTAATTTTATTTGCTGCAATTTGAAATTTTCTTTAAAAATTATTTGATTTGTGTCCACTTAGATTATACAATAAAATGTTTGTTCTTTTATCTGAGAAGAGATTGTCCAACTTACTCTGGTTGGGTGTATATGTAAGTTCATGGATTACTGTTTGGTCTGTTCAGTGCGAGAAGCATTTCCCTATTGAGCTAATGTCCATAAACCAGTCAATCAAAATATCGTTTAATCTATATGGTCAGAATGCTAAAAATTGATGGTTGGACTATTTGTGCAGTACACCCACTGTTTATCTTATTAAAGCACATTTATTGACTGAATCGAAGGTATCACTCAGAAGTGATTCTTCTTTTTCTTTCCTGAATTTTTTTTAATGAAGTAAGATTATTTTCATTTATTCTCGAAGCCTGTTTATATCCTACTGTTGTTATGTAAGATTTGTATAGGATAATTTCTCTACATGACTCGAAAATCGGATGTCGCATTAACTGTGTATTTTAGTAGACAAGCGTTCAATCAGACTCATGAATTTTTAAGTTACAGTAAGTAGGTAATAAAAAATATAACAGCCGTACTATAGATTTAACACCATGTACTGAATCAATAGTTCAGGTAGAACATTGTAAATGTTCTAAGTATTTTTCTGCAATAATATGTGCCAGTGGACGTTCTATAGCCAGATGACTTTGTCATTAAAACTGAGTACACTTAAGAGACAATCACACCTATATTGTATAATAATTAATACAATAATTCTTGTCGGTCTCGAGAATTATGATTTTATCAGTAATCGTTATTGAATAATACCAGGAAAGAATATGTTATGTGGACGTAATTCTTTATTTTTAAAATTAAATTTCCAGCCTAGTTGGAATGGACATTAGTATTTATTTATAATAATTCTAATGATCATATCCATGTCTAAATTAACGCTCCAGGCATATACTCAGAATAAGGGCAAATAATTCTAACACCAGGTACACTGAACAATGCGACAAAAGTATTTAAACTTACAAAAATTGTTACTCATATCCAATGGTTGAATTAAAACTGTTGTAAAAATTAAGTAGAGAATAGTAATTATGGACTTATTCTCTAATTAGTCCCTATGATATTCTGAATTCATCTTTGATTCCGTCTCTAAATACAAATAATTTTTGTACAATAAATGTAGGAAAGTTCTTATTCACTTTCCAAACCTAATCTAATCTAGAATGTGAAGGTAAATTTTTGTCGGAGGATCTATTTTATTCAACAAAGAAAACTGATTAAGTGTTGTTAATATGCTTTCCTAAACATAAGGTTCTTGCTAGTTGGCACTCACCAGCAAGGCATATCTTAATGGTATGCATTAATTATAACAACATAATATACTATTTACTCTTGTTTAGTAATGGTTCTGATCCCGTAGACATCATTTTTACAATATGTTAAAACGTACTGCAGATAAGTAATTAATGCACCACAATTTCATCTCACAAACTGAAATCGTTGATTAAACTCGTTCACCTTTACCTCGGGTTAGATCGATCAGAGAATCTTTAGCTTGACTTATTCCGTAATAACTATTGGTAAGTGGTAATTTCAATTGTATAGAATTGTTACTATTCGGTTTATCACTTCATAACTTACCTCCACCTATTCAATTCTTAATTGACATAATGTACACAGCAATAACTATTGTACTTTTGAACAGATATGTTTTAGAATCAATTGGTTTTTCTAATCTTAGCTAAACAAATGACATTTTAGTAAATATTGGACAAGCCATTTAAACATTATGATTTTACTAGGTTTGCAATTGGGAAAGCCTGCTAGCTAACTAAGCAAACAATATTTTAGATATAATTTAAATGAGCACAAGGATATACCAGTATTTCATTTTCATGATATTGTAAATAGTTGATTACTACTGTCGCACCACATAATTGACTAATTCATTAATGTAAAGAAGGATTCATGTTTGGATAAAGATAAATTAGTATTTTGTATTTTAAAGTGTTAGATTTGTGTTAACACGAATATGTTAGGATTGAGAATGCCGTACAATGCAGAAAGCAGTTTGTAATTGAATCATAATCCAAAGGTAGAAAGCTGCTTATTGTTGCATTACATTTTGAGTTTTCTAGAGATAGGTGGAGTAAAACTGAGAGAAATTCAAAATCTCACTTTATTATCAATGTAAATTCTAACATGACTCACATCTTTTGAATACAGTTGTAAATTTCCACTGCTTTCCAAATCTATGCTTCTCTTATTGAAATTTCAACAATCTATTCGGATTTCGTAAAAGGAGAAATCTTCAAGGATCAAATGAGTGTACTGTTTATAAAATTTCCAACAATAAAGATGGAGATCGGTCGAAGGCTTTTCATCAATCACGTACAACTTCAAATAGAAGTTTGTGCTGATGATGTCGTTCAGAAGAACGATGAAAGCTCCACGACCAAACCATCCAGCTCAGAGAACAAAACTCCACCAAAAATTTGATGATTTTGATAGATTTATAAGATATTTTCTATAGCAATATCACTTGTTATGTCAGTGTTCACATTTAACGCCTTCTTTGAGGTTAGCCTACAGTTTGTCTTTTAATTTTCGATGCGTACATCTAGACGAAGAGGTATTCCCTAGCAAAGCTGCATACGAAGTTTTAAGCATTATTTTGTTATCATTGTATTCCTAATAAAGACCAACGTTTTGGCTTACAATTGCCTTTTCTTTATTCGCTTTTCCTGAGATCCATGAAAGTTAGATTCACATGTTTACCTTGGATAAACTTCATCTATTTACAAAGGATTGATAAGAGTTTACCCAACTGACATATAGGAGAATTCCCTCTTTGGGCTGCCCTCAATGTCCATATGAGATTGGACAAAGAAGTTTAAATATTTTTTCTAAGGAGACTGTTATTTTAAATATAGATATTTATGAACGAAGATTCTATTTTTGATTTACCATCTTGGAAGAATCCTAAGAAATTTTTCATTCAGTCGTTTCTATGCTAATGTACATTATTTTATGTAATATTTCTCTTACTACTTGAATTCACTAGGTAGTTTGTAAAAGTAACATTTTTCTAGTAAAAATATTTAAGATAGTTTCAGCCCCAAAACTGGTTTATTCTTAATCGAAATGATGAGTTATTACTATTAGAAACTTTAAAATATTTAAATCTCAAAATTAACAAGATTCATCATCAAAACTAATGCCCGTTTCATCTAGAGAATTTCGTCAGTCTATAGTTCCTCTGGTCAGTTACCTAGTAAAGTTGCGATGCGAACGCATCGGTAAAAATTTCGGTCTAAAAAGTGCCTTTTCAGTTATGTGTATAACGTATTGGATCTTGTTTTACAGGGTTCTTTTTTTCGTGCATTTCATCAATTATACACGAAGTTGTAGATTTAGAATGATTTTACATAAGTTCCCTAATGTATTTTATGATTTGTGAAGGCTAATTATGATGTAAAGCAGACGAAAAGACAATTGGATTACACATTATGATCATGACTTTGGTTTTTGACTAAAACCTCTCATTTGCAAAATTATCTTTTAAATAGATCTTTACAAATATAAGATATTAATATCCTATCGTTTAATCCATTAGCCATAATGGCTAACTTTTGAAGATAGTCGCATAGTAAAGCCTCAGCTATTCGTTTAACAGTACTCCCATACGATCTGTTGTAGACTGAAAAATCTTTCCGTTTAACAAATTTACTTTGTGAAGATGAATTAATTGATGTAACTAGAAATGTGCTTCTTTCTATGCTTGTAGTAAGTTCACTTATTATGATGAATGGTACTGAATGCAATTCCTGTAGATTGAACAGTATTTTACAGTGATTGGGTGGATTCATCCATGATGGGAATTATAAAGATTAAAACATCCATCTGAAACGTAAAACACCAAAGTGCCTTACGAGTTTCTTACGCGGCGTGGTGGTGTGGAACAAAATCCATAAATTCCTACCCTTTTTATTTTCCCAAAAATTTATGTGAAATAACATTCGTTTTGCTTATTATCAAAACAATAGTACATACGATGTAATTAATCATATAAACCCATACAGTGATACTCAATTTCATTTAAAATGAATTGGCGATATAGACATTGTTTACCTATCTAGATAGTTCATCTAACTCATCACTTTGCACGGTCTGACTCAACTAAACAGCAACGTTTGAACGTATTTGTACAGGCGAGTAATTCAAACAAAAGTTTTATCACCATTACCATTTAATATCGAAGGATATATTGTTATATGATTAAAATCTTTAAATTTTAATAACTAACCTGGCGTAATTTTATTAATTGATGACATAAAGGTTTTAAGGATTTACAGACTTATTAATGAGTATTATTAAACTGTGAATTAAATACTGATCATCGTACTAGACTTAAATAAAGATTGGAAGAAATGATACAGGGAAATAAATAGTAACTGCTATTATCAACAACTATGTAGACACGGGACTAATTTTTTTAGTTATTCGTAGTCAATTTTAGATTATACCGCTAAGAATAAATTCGAATATCAGTTAAATATCAACTGAGTCACTAGATGTATAAATGAGATGAAAATAGAAGACATTTAAAACTACCCGTTTATCAACTGTTGCACAGATAAAATACGTATAATGCCAAAATTGTGTAGTATATGATCTCAATGGTAAATACACTGTACGTGTGGACGAACCAAACGAAATTGGGAAGCTCACTACTAATAAAAACAAATTTATCGTGATCATAGTTATTAATTGATCTGAAAACAAATTAGCCTGATCAACAAGGGGAAATTACCACATAAATAAGAGAGTTATAAGAGACATATCCTTTACCTACAGCATTCAAGCATGGAAACAATAGAACGATAAAATGAATGACGATATTTCAGTGAAGAACATATTCTTTCTGACAATG